AGCCGGCGGGCGCGGCTCTTTGTTCTGCGCGGGGCCGGCCGGGCCCCTGCTCCTCTCCGGAGCCTTCCCTCTCCCATATGGTGCCCATTATCCGCTGTGTGCCCCAGCCTCGTCTGACGAGGAGCTTTACAGGTGTCGCCGGGATAATGATTCACACTCTAACGAAGGTGGGAAAGATGATTAGCTGGCTCTCTATCAAAGAGCGCGATTCTATGATTCCAAAGGGCTTGGGGAGTTCCCGAGGTGTTTAACACCACGAGCAATGGCTCTTCCTTCGCTGCCCGGGCTCTTCCCTCGCCGTGGCACAGCCCTGCTGGTGCCGCAAACAGCCCAGCGCCCGGTACTGGTGATGCTGGGCGGCACTGGGAAGCCGGCGGGCGCTGCTCTTTGTTCTGCGCGGGGCCGGCCGGGCCCCTGCTCCTCTCCGGAGCCTTCCCTCTCCCATATGGTGCCCATTATCCGCTGTGTGCCCCAGCCTCGTCTGACGAGGAGCTTTACAGGTGTCGCCGGGATAATGATTCACACTCTAACGAAGGTGGGAAAGATGATTAGCTGGCTCTCTATCAAAGAGCGCGTGGCATCAGCTGTTCCTGGGAGCCGGGGGGGGGGGGTGGGGTGGGCTGCGGATGTGTAAGGACACGTACGCCGGGAGCGCCGGGCGCCCGGGCTTTGTCCTGCCTCTAATTCCAATGGACTCGCAGGCACCTCTTTGTGTGCCTTAGTTTCCCCAGCTGTAGCAGATAGATGTGGTTATTGCTTTTCCATGTACACCCCCCAGCCCTGAGCAGCTGATTGAGCTCCTGCGTTAGCAAGCGGTGATTTAGGCAGGGCTCTTGGCAGCTGGGCTGCCGCGGGAGAGGGCACCGGAGCTGTCGGAGTCGGGGCTCTCCAGGGACGAGGCTGGTGAGGGGAAGGGGGAGACATGAATTAAATCACCCCCTCCGCACACACACTCTGGAAGTGCGTCTGGAGCCCGTCCTGCGGAGAAGGGGTCCCTGGTGCTGGTGCAGCATGGGCAGGGTTTGCTCCGCGCAGATGTGGCCGTGCCCTCCCCTGCCTGCGTGGTGGTGGTGGGGGCTTGGGCTTTGCCCGCTGATGGATTTTAAATAAAGATTTATTGAGCAGGCAGGGTCCGGCATCCCTGAGCCTGCCCCCCCCCCCCCCATGCGGGCCCAAGCCCTGCGAGCTGGTGGAATTTCTTGTCCGGCTCTTTCCACATCTTGGATATTGTTGGGGAGAGAAGGAAAATAGGAAAATGAGAATAAACCCGGCTTTTCTCAGTGGCCTTTTGCTCCCAGACGGGGAAAGCGGTGCTGTATTGCGGCACAGCTCCCCAGCACCAGGCTGCGACCTGAGCCCCGCTTTGAAAAGCCGGGGAGCAGAGAGCTCCCTGCAGGGCTGGGGAAACTGAGGCACGAGCGGCATCCGGCACCAGACCCACCCTCTGGAAGCACAAAGAGGTGGGAAGGGGGGGGTGCTCGCCCAAGCCCTGCACCCAGCCACCAGCCACCGCCGCCATCCGCCTGTCCCGGGACGGGCCCCCGGCGCCGCGGGCAGAGCCGGCGCA